CTCGACGAAGTACATGTCGCCGGTATTCCTTGTGCTTGCATCGAAATTTACTTAGGAAAAAATAGCAGAAATAGTGAAAACATTTCGATTCCAATGATGTGTGTGGCGCAGTGGTCGGAGGTGCCCTGAAACACACGCGTAGAATCGATCCCCGCTCCCAGGGCCCACTAAGCCTTCCATCCGTTCGGGATCGGCAAATTGCTACCAGACTTGTTTGGAAGGATAGCAGCACTGGCTTGATACATCAATAGGCATCAGTAGGCTATCGCGAGTCATTGTAAAGGCCAGATATGCATTCAATCACCTTCAAACGATGCTTAATGAAGTCGAACGCATGACGCATCCCTCAAGGGATGATCAAAGCCGAGAGCTTCAACCTTTATCCCTTCTTTCGATTTCGGCACTTGAAACTCTTTAGACAAGTGTAGATCCCAGCTAGATAAACAACTGCCGTATTTCCTGCACCATAATTTTTTTGTGCTTTTCTTCTACAGTTTTAACGGAGAAGACGGCTAGTACAGTGCACTTTAATAAAAGTGGTGAAGGTTTTTTTTCGTTTTCGGCGGAAGTTTACTGCTATTTATCTGATATTTTAATAATATTCGATGGCGGAAATAAGCAATTCCCATTTAAAACAATGGTTTCAAAGTGCGATAATGAGAAATGAGCTTGTTAGTGAATCAAGCTAATTCGACATGGTGATCATCACTTGCTGAGTTCACGGTTTCACGAAAAATTCAGGAACTGGGGTGATTGCTAGGGCATGGTGCGTGTTGATTCGTCACTACGACTATGTGGGGTACAAAACTCTGTTATCTGAATTACGTCGAAGTAAATTTTATTGGATTTATGCATTTGGTGTGCTATTCAATATATTATTGTACTGACAAGCTTACACGAGGTTGTTACATAAACTTAAAAAAATATTTCGGCACAATGTTAATTTTCCATTTACTGCCTACTAGAGTTTATCACGGCAGGGAGATATAATGTGCTACACAATACAATGATGCTGAAATAGCTCCCACGTCCGACTTTCTATTAACCTCGGCAATGATTGAACAGTTCTTTCCACTTCTGTTCAGCAAGCACGAGGTGCTATTCCACTTTCCCACTCACGTAAAAGCTGACGTTACGGTGGATTTCGCTTTCCTCAGAGCCTCGAAAGGTCAAGTTGACAGCAACCTATTCGGCCAAACACCTTCATAACCAAACTGAGAAAACGCTAAGCCAAGATTTCAATCACATTGAACACGGCTCCGCACACTCACCGCTTTCTATGAGTCTTCCACTGAGTTTGTCGTGTGAAGAGCAACCCCACAAAACTCACATGGAAGCGTAATGTGCTCCTCCCATCAGAATAACAGTCTTATATACTACCACAACGTTGTTGAGATATTTGCAAAACTCCGGACCGTAGGTGTCTGCGGTGGGAAACGAACGCGCTGTCGGGTGATTGCTGTGGCAAAGATCGATAGAAATAGCTGAGAGACAGGCGAAACGAAGGACCCGGATGGTGTGGTGGTGAACGCGTTGCTCCCCGGAAAGGGCAATAGCGCGTTCGTTCCCTACCATAAACACCTGCGGTTCAGAGTTTTGCAAATATCTCAACAACGTTGTGGTTGTTTTTCGCTTAGTACCCTGCCGCGAAATTATAGTAGGCAAAAAATAAAAGGGTATAACAGTCTTATATACTGTCCAATATCGCGCGTGATAATGAAGCATATCCTACCGGTTCATTTTCGGATTTCTGGAGTTAATCCAGAACGCCTCGAAAGTTTTGCGCGCTTGTGTTCTTGATTCCTGCGCGCGGATCGCGACACGTACTTCAAAGTCCTCCCCGCTATGGAGAAGGCCTGTGAGCCGGGATTTTGCAAATATCTTACCATCATTGTTGCTATTTTGCTACAGTTTAAGTAAACGGGGAGGATTTTGAAGTACGTGTCACGATCCTCGCGCAGGAATCAAGAACACAAGCGCGCAAAACTCTCGAGACGTTCTGGACTATTTCCAGAAATCCGAAAATGAACCGGTAGGATATGCTTCATTATCACGCGTGATATTGGACAGTATATAAACTTGTTATTCTGATGGGAGGAGCACATCGTGCTTCCACGTGAGTTCTGTGCGGTTGCTCTTCACACGACATACTCAGTGGAAGACTCATAGAAAGCGGTGAGTGTGTAGGGATATGTTAAATGTGATTGAAATCTTTGTTTAGCGTTTTCTCTGTTTGGTTATGGAGGTGTTTGGCCGAATAGGTTGCTGTCAACTTAACCTTTCGAGGCTTTGAAGAAGACGAAATGCGCCGAAACGTCAGTTTTACGTGAATGGGAAAGTGGAATAGCACCTCGTGTTTGCTGAACAGAAGTGGAAAGGATGCTGAGATATTTGCAAAACTGCGGACTGCGTGTGTCTACGGTGGGGAACGAACGCCGTGTTACCCTTCCCGGGCCGGAGGCTAACGCGTTCAACACCATACCCTTTCGCCTTTCTCTCAGCTAGTACTAGCGATCAGTGTAATCAAGAGTCACCCATCAGCGGGGTTGATCTGGAAAGGACAATTCGGCATTGAACCCAGTTAAGCTGAGGATGTAGTCGAAATCACAATGTTAATTTTTATTTACTACCTACTACAATTTTTCATGGCAGGGTATAATGTGTGACACAAACACCTGTGGGCCAAAGTTTTGCAAATTTCTCAGCATCATTGTTGCTATTTTGCTACAGTTTCAGTAAATCAAAAGATTCCATGGAAAAAAACCGGGGTTCAGTTAGCTTGGAAAGCTCCTTTATTATTACTGTTGCATTGGCAAAGAGCTTTAGATGGTTTGCAAGATCAAAATAATCAAGCTGGATAAAAACGAGTGTTTCTTCTTTAATTAACAAGGAATCTTTTAGACCCTAAAACTGGCAGAAGCTGTTTCGATAGGGTGAATCCCCGAACTGGATTCAGTGATTGCCCAGCTCTGCAATCCTTTTGCACCAGACGTGGTTATGTTTGGCTAATGAGGCAACAATGTCCAAGAACTTGTGGATACTGTAGTAAATAGCTTGCCGAGAATGTTTTATAATTTTTCGCAATAAATTGCAAATGCCAGTTGATAAACTGTCCGCTGAGATTCCTTCAAGATTTTCAAACCTTTCTATTTGCTCCCAAACAAACACTGTGGAAAGGAAGCACCGCCGAATGTGGTTCTCATTCGAGTGGTCCTCCGGTCCAGAAGACTCTACTCGATACCTCTGCAATGACCCCATATCGAGAGCACGAATGGCTGAGGACTATCGACTCGGACTCTGAACGAGACGAAGATTTCGAAATGTTAACCGAATAAGTATTTGGTAACAACCTCATATTAGATTGCCAGTGAAATAAAGCACGTTGAACACTATGGAATTCTTTCATTCAATCCTATGCAAAGATGTCTCATCCATACCCTTCTAGGGGTGGTATATAGAAAGCAGACGGGGTTTTTAAAATGTTAGTTGGAACATAAGGTTTCTTCAACTTCGATGTTTTATCTTATTCTCTTAAATGCTCCACGTTTTTTCATCATTTACTTGCAAAGACTTTACTCCTATGTGTTTAGCACTTCTGACTTTCGGGAAAGCAGTGCATCATTTACTAGAATCCAAGTTACGTTAAATCTGTGAAAGGCCACAATCGTTTGTTTAAGGAAATAACATTATCGTGTAGTTTAAGTGATTCAGCACCATTGCCGTTGATATTGTGATACCCGTCTTGTCATTCCTTACGTGAAAAAATAGACCAACAAAAGGGGAATCCAAAAACTCATCGTGATTTGTAGGGGGTTAAAGGATAATCGAAAAAACCTTTTCGTAATTGTACTGACAAGAAACGAGAGTAAAATATCGTCATCCGCACTATAAAAGTAATTTTTTAGGAATTGCACATCTCTAATTTCGTGAAATAAAGGAGGCTAAGGGAAAATAAAGTATTAAGTTGTTTAGAAGTAAATGAGCTATCTTAACTCTTTTATTTACTGCCTTTTTCTTCTCAATGGCAGGGTATGTTGTGAAATATAACTCGTATAAAGTGCTGAGATATTTGCAAAACTCCGGACCACAGGTGTATGCAGTGGATAACGAACACGCGCTGTTGTCCTTACCGGGGAGCAGCGCACTTCACCACTACACCATCCGGGTCCTTCGCTTTGCATGTATCTCAGCTAGTTCTATCGATCTTTTTGCCATCAGCAATCACCCGTCAACGGGATTGATCTGGGGAGCCAATATCGGCATTGAACCCAGTTAAGCTGAGGCCTCGTTATAATCACAATCTTAACTCTTTTATTTACTGCCTTTTTCTTCTTAATGGCAGGGAACAAATGGCAACTAGATTGCACACTACTTGGAACAACTAGAACACCTCGTCTTGTGAGGACCAGTTCATGCAATGAAGATAGCCACCGGATTGTGAACAGTGCAGCAAGGCTGCGATCGACACATCAACGGAAATCACCAGATCAGTTCCAATTCCTCAAAATTGAAACCCCAGCATCGAATAGAGATTTCGATAGGAGAATGTCAAGCTCTCACGGAAATCTATTGTCGTTACTACCAACTCACTCACAACTCATAAAGAATCCGATTCAGCTGACTCGTTGGCTGAGACTATAGACAGCAGAATAGTCGAAGTAAACTTTAGTTTACGACCATCTCCGTTAAAACGAAACAATACGCCTAAAAATGTCCGAACTGGCTTTAAAGAGGAAGAAAGTGGTGCTAAAATTTCCCAAACGGAATTGGAAAGTTCAGCGAAGGCAGTGAGTACGCAAAATATTACCCATGTTGCCAGTTCTCTAACGAAAGAAAATGAGGTTGTGGGCAAAGAATCTGCATATGAATGGCTATTCTTTGTACGCCGGAAGACGTCACAAAGTAATAAGCTTCCACTAACTCACCGTTCGTCGAATCCTTACAAACAAGTGGAAGAGTCCGAAAGATTGGGACAACACCGGAAACGGACTGGTGATGGTATGGTGAAGTCAGAAGTATCAGAATTACAATACGCACCTCCGAAGGTAACTCATCGACGCATCACAGAGATAGATTCCTGGTTGGTATGGAAGAACTGTCTTCTCGCAAGGCTACGTCGAGCATTGGCAGTTAGTCATCTTCCTTTCATAACATGGGAAGTTCTCGGTCAAGATGTGAAGTGGAGTTGTCAAAGAGTTGGCGTTAGTGGGATTGTCAAACTACGTAGTGACCGAGATGATTTTTCGAGCTATCTAATGCGGTTAATGCGATATCTAGAGCAGTTCCCCTTTCCATCTGGGTCAGCTAATATTATAACGTATAAAGACAATCAAGAAGTGAATGTGTTCAGAACTGTCTGCTCTCATCTGACACGTGAGCAGCCGATACTAACAAATGCTCAAGCTTCTGCTCTACTTCACGTCGTTTCTTTGTCTAACGCCGTTCTTAGGTCCGATTTACCTCATCAAAGATATGGTTGGCCCGTTCATATTGAAACCGAGTTTACCGAGAATCCTCCGCGTAGTCGAATTGTGCCACGGCAGTCGTCTTCTGGTAATTCTACCACATCGACCACCGATTCCACACCGTCGTTCACCGAAAGCCTAGAGCGCTTTTCTTTTAACGGAGAGGATAAACTTTCCCAGAAGACTAGAACTGGCTTACAACCTTCTCAAGTGAATACTTCGAGACATGTTGAATCGTTGGTTTCGTTGGGTACCATTGCACAGCCAAGTCGACTGGGACATGAACGGCGGAATGTGTTTATTCTAGGAGGTGTGCCTAAATATAACGAAATACTCAATCTTCCTGGTCTAAAGGAAAGCCCGGAATTATTGCAAAGACTTAACGAAATGTGTTTGAAACTACAACCAAACAGTGACTTGATAAGCCAGGTCTCTTCAGAATTCATAAGGTTACCCGAATTTAATCAATTGGTTTTTGCTGATCATCAATGTGGTATCTCTCATTTGTCCAGAATGTCGTCTCATACTAGTTCCTTAACATTAGCTACAAATTCTTTTAGCGAAGAGCTTTTGCCACGGCCACCAGATCACATACTAGAAGCTCTGTCGCTTCTACTACTCTCTTTACCTTCTCCTCGTCGTCGTAGACTTCATTTCCTAATTCGGTTCATGAATAAAATCTCTGCAAATCATTGTCTACAGCTGGACGACGTGCACTCTAATCGTTATGTAGCTTTGAAAGGTCTCTCAGGAAGTATAATATCCACCCAGGGAGCCTCTCCATTGTTAACTTCACAATGTTCACATCTTGTTTCTCTACTGCTTGATTACGAGAAGGAAGTCTTTAGTGTTCCAAAAGGTTTGATCTTAGAAGTGGATGCCACGATTCGAGAACGGCAACGTGATAAGGTAACCCCAATAGGGCAAAGCCCGGAATTGCGATCGGAAATGGCAGATTATGTACAGTTTTGTGAGCCTGCCAAGGGAAGTGAATACGAGGAACAAAATCTAAATCTTGTTGACAATCTTCTGGAACTTCTTGACCAAATATGCATTGACGAAAATCTGACGGTACAAGTGAGATGAAAACGACTGAAAAGATTCAAGAAGACGTACCCGTCTGTTTACTCTCAGCGATTCCCATCTCCAGAACTAAACATCCCAAAGAAGAAGGAGCGAGAAAATCGATTCCTATTCAAGTTGTTTAGTCGGTAGTGGTAGTTCTTGTGTATCTATACGTAGCGATCTGCATAACTCTGCTTAACCTATTTAACTTAATCCTATTTGTTTAATTTACTACTCATAATTTACTACATTGTAATGTTGTCTTCAAGGACAGATAACATTGGAAACCTATGTAATTAGACCCAAGGTGTGGAACTAGCTCTGTTGCTCTAGCACTACTTATGTTAAGGCTAAGCCAGCCATGTTAAGACTGTTTTGATGAAACGACTTTATAATTGTTTATTTTATTTATTTTCCAATTAAATATTTTCTATGATAAAAAAAACTAGCTGAGATACATGCAAAGCGAAGGACCCGGATGGTGTAGTGGTGAAGTGCGCTGCTCCCCGATAAGGACAACAGCGCGTGTTCGTTCCCCACTGCATACACCTGTGGTCCGGAGTTTTGCAAATATCTCAGCACTTCATACGAGTTAAATGAGCTATGTTATTTAAAATTCCATAAGATCCTTCGAAGAAAACTTTATTAATTAAAACAAAGACCTTTTGAATCTGCAGATTTCTCCAGCAAAAAAACAAGTTTGTTTATTTCAGTGTCTTAAAATTCTGCGCTTTCGGAAGCGATGAATTCGTTGAAGGCATTTCTTGCGTAATACTGGTTAGTGAAGCATTTCTCGCGCAGGAAATTGTCAAGGTGTTTGAAGAAGTGATAGTCGATAGGCAAGAGGTTTGGTGAATTTGGCGGATGAAGCAAAGTTTCGTAGCCTAGCTCGTTCAACTTTTGCAGCACTGGTTCTGCAACATGAGGCCGGACATTGTGGTGCAGAAGGACTGGTTTTTTCCTGCTGACAAATGTCGGTGGTTGTTGTTGGAGTTAAAGGTGGATTTAGTCGATTTGTTGGTAATGCTTCTCTGCCGTAGACGCTTCGCTCGGATTCAAAAAGCTGTGATGACTCACCCCAGCTGCGGACCGCCAAACAGTTACCATAACCATTTTTGGTGCAATTTCGGATTAGAGAAGTGCTGTGGAGCCGAATCGCAATCCGACCATTGAACTGAACGCGGTCGGTGGTAGTCCAGAATCCACACCTCGCCTCTCGTCAGAACTCGATCAAGAAAAGGGTCGTTTTCGTTGCTCAGAATAAGAGCGGACGACACTGCGCTTACGTCAAGTTGTTCTGTAAGCTCTCGAACAGTTGTTGGCGTGTTCGCTTCCACAAGTGTCTTCCACTCGTCGTCGTCAAGTTCACTGGAACGTCCGCGGCTTACCTTAAATTTGAGGTCGAAATCACCACGTCGGAATTTCTGGAGCCATGTTCGCACTGCTAATTCACCAACACTACCTACACCACAGACTTCATTAATGTTTCGAGTCGCCTCTGCTGCACTACGACCGAGTTTGAATTCATAAAAGAAAGTCTGACGAGAATTCGCCTTTGACTTCTAAAAAAGCAAGGGTCAAAATTGGTAAAGAAAATTTAGCTTTTGACAAAATACATTGAAAAGAATATAAAACTGGCTTTTTTAATGGTGTATAACATTGCCAGGTACAAAAAATATTTTGCTTGTACAAAATACATCAAAATAATAAATATTTCAAAAGGTTCATTTGTAACTTCAATGATGCGGAGATATTTGCGAAATTCCGGACTGCAGGTGTCTACGGTGGGGAAGCCGATCATTGACGCAGCTGGGACTTAGGATCCTTTCCCCTTATTTGTGTGACACGGGACACTCGTAGCTTCATCCTTTCGACTGCGCGCAATAACGCTGAGTGACCTTCCATCCTGCTTACGCAGCGACCAGGTTTTCTATGCTTACGTGAAAGCAGGAAGAATTGTAGAGTGAAAAAAGTGGACACGCAGTCGGTTGTTCTTCGTTTTGTTCACTACACCTTCTACGCTCCTGAAAGCTTTCCAAGCCGCTAGTTTTCTCCTCCTCAACTTAGGAGCTAAGTGGTTCATTTCGTTGATTTCTCAATCTAGATAGACGTAACTGGACCAGACCAGACCATTAGGAGATATTTAATCGGCTGAGAAACCCACTGGGCTATACTTGCGCTACGTAGAAAAGTGGAAAAATTACTGGTGTCCGCTCGAGTTCTTGACGATCAATGCGGCGACAGGGGATCATCGTTTTTGTGAGATTTAGTCGAAGATAAATCATTCCAAAGGCTTTGTCAGAGTTGGCAAGCATTCATTGCACTCCGTTAATGTTCGGTGGTAAAATAACGGTGTCATCGGCAAGGCCAAGATGGTGCAATTGCGGACCATCGATTTTCACTCCCATGTGGCCCTACTCCAAGTTTGCACGACGTTTTGGAGGGTGGTTGCGAATTATTTTGGCGAAATGGTATCATCTTGCCTGACTTCTCTATTGACGTCGATGTCGTTATCTTTGTAGAATGGTGATATCTTGGCAGTGAAATTATTATTATTGAGCTCACGAACATTCCCATATACTGACTAAGCACTCACTGACTGTATTGGGCTTCCTTGACTGCCTCAATCTCAAATGAATCAAAAGTCTTCTTTAAATCGATGAAAGGGAGGCGGAGCGGTTTTTTATACTCTCGGGACACTTAAGTGAGTCTTGTTACCATGTAGATGTGGTCTATCATACCCAATATTTTTTGAAACCATACTTCCTCACATGGCCGCTTTTCGTCCAGTGTTCTACCAAGACTGTTTAGGATGATTCGAGTGAAAACTTTGTAGACGACAGACAGTAGGCAGATTGGGCGATATTTGCCAGTATCGCAGAGGTCATCCATTTTGAACAATAGTATGGTGTTCTTGGTCCTCCAGTGAATAAGAACCCTACATCCTGATAGGTATCGTGTGAAGAGCAGGGCCAGTCTGTCTATGACGGCTAGCGGAAGGTTCTTCAAGTGTTCAGATCTTATGCTGACCGGAGCTGGTGTTGTTCGATTCTTCACTGATGCACAAACATGCGGTTATTGAAGATATCTGAGTAGTAATTGCGAATGGTTTTTAATATTGCCTTCTGGGATACTGTAACTGTTCCATCTGGGTGCTGCAGTGCATTGATCATGGTTTTATAATTGCCAAAGCTACGGAGGGCTATGTGAATGTTTTTCCAGCCTTGCAGCCTCAACGAGAACTACTGGGCTTCTCTTTTTAGGACCTTCTACTGTCACCTGTTCGCATTGTCTTGCAAGTTCGGAGTTGCAAGTATGTTGGCGGTAGGTTGCCTGTAGCACGTGAGATTCCACGCTGGCGTATCAGCTCTTGTGTCTCTGGAGATCGACTCCACTTGGTGACTTTCGAACTCTCAGCTTTCATAGCGCTAACGTGATAATGATGAATGCTTTATGACGTTTTGTGTTTATGACGTGATGATCGTATTCCTCGTCGAAGTCATCGAGAACGGTATCTTCCCAACAGACAATTAGTGAACTGAATAAATCGTAGTTTATAGTGGTTTTGGGACATCGTTTTTTTTTAAATTTAGCGGCTTGTTCTCTTTTCTACTCTTTTCTGCGTACAATGGAATCCTACACGAGGGAGGCGATAATCCGATCCTGGGTAAATTTTTGGACGAAAGCGACATCGGTCAAGGCAAAACTTTCAGCTTAACGTGATGTGGTCTATTTCGTTATGGTATTCTCCACTGGAGACTTCCACGTCCAGTGTTGAGTGTGAAGCGTTGACCTGAGATTTTAGTGGCCTCTCCACACTAGTCCACAACGTTTTCGAAACCTCTTTCCGGGTCAAGAGAATGAGGTTGGTACAAAAAAATTTTTTTGGGTTACCCTTCGGCACTTTCGCCTTCGCAGATCCGCATTGATCCCATTCGATGGTCTACATATAGTCGACGTCGGGGTGTAGGTGTTCGTAATCGCATAGAGTCGAATCTAGTGGATAGCGCACCGCTCGAATGATTGATTTTATTCGGCACTGCCCTTTTCTACACGGCGATTTTGATCGGTTGTTTCTCCCATATGATCTATTTCGGCTGGTAATGCGTCCTGTAGTGCTCGTACCTCGTTTACCAGCATTGACTATTGATTGATTGATCGCATTGGATTGTTAATTATTGTTGCCGATTTTTAATGAAAATAGGTTCCTAAGATGTTAATTGCCACGTCATGTCTCTGCAAATGATCTGCTGATTACTAGAACACACGGTACCGCCTGCTCAAAATGGATCATATTGGTGGGGCGATTGATCAAACACGTCCTGTATGAAAGGACACCACTGAGTAAATATCCCCATTCGAGCAGCTTTGCTCCTTCTACTGGATTCGACTTGATGCGACAACGAACACCTACATCGCGAGAACACCTCCTGTAGACCATCGACTCGGATCAACACGGCTCTAAAAAAGACGAAGGCGCTGAAATGCTAGTCAAATAAAAGTTTCTACACCAGCCTCATATCGGCTTAACTATATAGACAGATACTGTTCTTTAGTACGTCTAATTGAGAAAAATTTTCAGCTTATGTGAACTCTCTCTGTCCACTTGGCTTCGTCTTGATCTCTACAGAAAGCTGTCCATTCGGAAGTGTTGTTGCTAACAAATTCTTGTTGTTGCATCCACAAGAGTATTAGAGGTAGTAATTTCTCTTCAAGGGATTACTACGACGTGATTTAACTATGTCGATATGACTCGTATATAATGCCGAGATATTTGCAAAACTCCGGACCGCAGGTGTATGCGGTGGAGAGCGAACCAGCGCTATTGTCCTCACCGGGGAGCAGCGCACTTCACCACCACACCATCCGGGTCCTCCGTTTTGCCTGTCTCTCAGCTAGTTCTATCGATCTTAGCAAAAAGTGCTTTGCTCCCCGGTAAGGACAACAGCGCGGGTTCGTTCTCCACTGCATACACCTGCGGTCCGGAGTTTTGCAAATAACTCAGCATTATATACGAGTTATATTTCGCAAATAAAAGGGTGAAGATTATGTCGATTTGGTTATCCGTTTAATGTTGGTGAAGATTTCTGCACACTGTTGACGCATGCGAACGACTTTGTAATAATCACTGACTGATGGCAGTCTCAAAATTCATAGTGAATAACTCTAACTGTAGACTAGCAAACAGTTACCATTGCTAGTTTTCCACCCTATTTAAGTTTCCAAAGACATTTACGAAGTTTATTTCAGCACCACCACAGCGCTGAATGTCGTTTGCTACCATATGGAATCCATTTTTCACTGCATGTCATAACACGATTTAGAAATAGGTTGTTTTCGTTCCGTAGAAGAAGCCCAGTACAGATTTCATAACGACGATCTCTTAGCGCCCTCTTTGAATTGTTTGGCACCGATTTGCAAAGGTTTTCCTTCCTATTAGTGCCTTTCTGTCTCTTGAAGGCCGTCTTTGATTCAGTGGTCGGAGGTGCCCTGCAACACACACGTGGCTCGATCCTCGCGCCCATGGCTCACCAAGCCTTCCTTCCCTCCGGGGTCGGTAAATTGGTACCAGACTTGTCTGGGAGGTTAGCAGCACTAGCTCGATACATCGGTAGCCCACCGCGAGTCATTGTTAAGGCCAGATATGCATTCAATCACCTCCAAACGATGCTCGTTGAAGTCGAATGCATGGCGTATCCCCAAGCGATTGATCAACGCATAGAGCCTTATCCTTTATTTTATCAGTGCTTTTCAAATGACAACAAATTTTCGAATGAGTGGCTTTGAGCTCTAGTGTAACATCCATATGGCTTTCCGTGATCACCACAGATTACTACCTGGCTACTGTCTTCAATTACACTGTGCTTTCGTTAACACTTCTTTGATGAGCCCTTTGCTCTGCACACCATCAAGTCTGCATTCGCAGCAACAGAGTTACCGAAATTTCTGTTTTGCCACTTCAAATTAGCCAAGGCCAAAAGCAGGAAATTTTACTATAATCAAAGTGGAGAGCGAGAATGCATAAATCGAGCTTCCCATAATTGTAATAACCTACGTTAGTTCAGCACTCGAGAAAGAAAACTAAACACGCAAAAGAAAAATTAAAGCACAAATCGAACATTAATTTTCGAGCAGCCTAGCATATTCGTTTCTCACGAATGTTGTTTCTTGTGATTTAACCGAAAATGAATTTTGTCAATAAACGCTTTGTCCAAGACAGTGAGGCGAGGAATCGCCACTGGAGCAGATGTTGCGACTACGGCAGGGTTCGAACCTGCAATCTTCTGGTCCGTGATTCACGGTCCGTGATTCAATCACGTGAATCTACGTGTCATCGATTGCGTGATTGATGATTGCGTGATTACGCCACACAGCCTAGTGAGTTCTCTTTACCATACGGGCTCATACAATTACTCCAATTGCTCCTCTCCGATTAGCACACGAACAATCCCTGAAGAGTACAGTGAGGCAAGGAATCGTCACTGGAACAAAGGCACGACCACTACTATAAAGGCAGCAATAACTGTGTGATCCATCGTACGGTTGGGAACTACTAAGGGCCGCGTAGCGCAATGGACAACGCGTCTGTCTACGGAGCAGAAGGTTGCAGGTTCGAGTCATGTCATGGTCGAGAGTTTTGTACCCGTCGCGATTCCTCGCCTCACTGTACTCTTCACTTCAGGAGCTAATCGGAGAGGAGTAATTGTATGAGCTATCATATATCAAAGTGATCTCACAAGCCCGCGCGGAGCAATAGGTGACGCGTCTACTCACGGGGGAGAAGGTTGCAGATTCGAATCCTACCGTGGTCAAGACTTTTGTTCCCGATGCGATTCCTCGCCTCACCGTACTCTTCACGGTACATTCGGGAGCTGTGATAAGGTCATGTAGTGGAGAAATCTTAAAATTTCTGGGATCCTGGCAGAATTCGGCAGGCGATTTACGCCCTTAATTGACAAACACCATTTGTTATGATAAGAAAAACATGAGAGCGGTCATTGATAGATTATTTTCTGCAGTATCCATAGGTTTTCGGGCACTGTTCTTTCATTAAGAGAACATAACCATAGTTGGTGCAATAGAATTTCATTGCTGAGCAATCATTGACTCCAGTTTGTGGATTGACCATGTCGAAACAGCTTCCAATGCTTGGAATAAATTTTTCGCCGTTAAAAAACAACATTATTTTTTAATAACTCAAAAGATCGGCTTTTTGTAAGCCTTGGCACAATAATCAATATATCTGCAAAAGTTTTCTTACGAACTGCCCTTTTTTAGCCGACGCAATGCTGGTATAGATGTTCTTATTGTTACTGCTGTCTTTTTTCAACAATGGCAGACGTTTCGGCGACTTCTTCTTCTTCTTCTTCAGAGTCTCGCCGTTGGACCACTCGAGTGTTGTTCACAAAGGACGACGAGGATGATTCTCCCATGACTTGGCATGATTCAGGATGATCCACGCATCATCCCTCGTGAACAATACGCGGATGGTCTAACGGTAAGGCTCTGAAGAAGGCGAAGATGCCGAAACGTCAGCCATAGTTGAACAAAGACAACAACAATAAGAACACCTATACCGACCTCGCACTGGCTAAAAAATGGCATTTCTTAAGAACATATGTACCGATATATTGAACATTATTTTTTAGCTATTATGAGTGTATCAGTTCTGCCAACAGTCTAAAGCACTCTTTTCTAATACAATGAAGAATAAAAAAGAATCGTTTTGAAATGTGTAATGATTTCTCGGTTTGCTGTAAACTGTGTCAAAATCCGTGTTGCGCAACAATGAACTGTTATTTTTCGGTGAATTTTTCCAATATCTTGTTGGAGTTCTACCGAATATTGTGGTTAGCAGCCGCCTTCGCAGTCAGTTGATTAACGCTGGACTAGAGAACTCCGCCTTCGTTTTATTAGGAATCGAACAAATCGTATTGGCGGCAAAAAGCAGAACTCTGTGAATTTCGATACCAACGAGGAGAAATACTGAAAGAGAACTCACAACGTCTTAGGTCTGATCTTTCCAGACCTTAGAAGCTGAGAAGTAATGCGTTTCCAAAAAACCACAAACTTCTATGTAGTGCATTTCCCCAATTATGTAACGATTTAGTAGCAATCATTGGTGTTGAAAAGTAACAATTAGAACACGATGAAAGCTTTTTCCATTCAGTGGAATTCTAGCCTGAGTAGGAGAACGAGGTTTTCGTTGAGAAACTCAACTATGAAGAAATCACTGTTAGTTCTCGCTGCTATCATCGCATCAACATTGTCACTGTTGCCAGGTGGGCGACGTAACACAGCGAGTAGACAAGTCTTTGAAGACAAAAAAGGACCTTGAACAACTACGAAGAGAGCCGATTAAAGAAAATTGTGTTTGAATCCGCACCGTTCTTTGTGCTTCGTGACGGGGTGCTTTTCGATCGTTAAATTGTTTAAGTTACCGTCAAGTGCACTTAATAATACAAAATCACCGTCAAACGTCAGTATAACTCCGACTGCATATAATGATTCATTCCTCGCCATATTATTCAATGCAGTCGTGTTGTTTTCTCCTTAGTTTGGCCTACTCGTTAAAAAACGGGAACATTATCGTGCATCATCTGAAAGCTCTTCATCGCCCCTCTCATGGGATTACTATTTTCACAGCTTCTTCATTCATTCTTTATCTTTAGTCTTTTTTATCAAGATTAGTTTTGGCTTGTGATCAGGGATGAAGCAGTTGGTGCGAAGAGAATGGCCATTTCTGAGGATATGCCTTTTGCAAGCACGTTTTAAAACAAATCTTTCTTACTAACACTGTTGTTTTGTACCGTTATGAAGGTCATTTCTTTTCCGCAATCCTTTTTCTTTTACAAAATACCATGAACGCCTTTTTGTTAACCTCGGTATTGATCGATAATTCACTTTTATCTTGGTGAGCGAGCACGATGTTGGTATTACAGAATTTCTTAATACACAATAGCTGACGTCTCAGCGATTTCGCCTTCCTCAGAGCTTGGAAAGGTCAAGTTGACTGCACACCGCCAAACACCTCCATAACCAAACAGAAAAAATCCTGAACCAAAATTTCAATCACAATGAACACAGAGTCTTTGCACACTCACCGCTTTCTATGAGTCTTCCACTAAATATGTTACGTGGAGACCAACCGCGCAGAGTTCACACGGAATCGTATTGTGCCCATTTCATCAAGATAACAAGCTTATATACTGCCCAATATCACACGTGATAATGAGGCATCCTCCTTGCGGTTCATTTTCGGATTCTTGGAATTAATCCAGAATGCCTCTAGGATTTTGCGCGCTTGGGTTCTCGATTCTTGCGCGAGGATCGTAACCCCTACTTCAAAATCTTGTCTGCTATGTCTCTAATGTCCTATACGTGCCTAGTGGAATGTTTGGTTCTAATTTAAATTTACCGTCTAATTGTTTTTCTATACGCACACAGAGTGGCCTACTCGTTTCGCCAACGTATTCGTCCCTACACGCTTTATGGGATATTAGTTACGCCGTACCCCAACTCATGCAATCACCTTCTCTACTGTTACGTCGTGTAAGATAATTTTGCGTTGTGCATCGACGATCACATAGGCGATTGCGTGCTAACTGGCGTCAGAGTGTTGGTATAAAGGTGAGCTGATATAAAAGTTTCATTCGATTGATTTTTCGGCGTTTTGTCTTCTTCAGAGCTTCGTTTATGCGAATCGATGAGCCACAGCTGGCCGATGTCGCGATGTGGGTGTTCGATGTTGCATCGAGTCGAATCCAGTAGAGCGAGCACTGCTCCAGTAGGAAGCTTCATTTGAAGGTGTGTTTTATACAAGAAGGATGTTGGCCAACTCCCGCTACCCAATATCACATGGATTTTGACGCCCAGTGAGTCTTGTAACAGTCGGCACTATATTTGCTAGCACGTGTAACGAAATGGTTAGCGGCGAAGTGTAGCGGTTCAGATTGATGTAGAATATTAGCCACGCGGGTCTTTTAGTTGTTGTAGTTGATCTACCAGCCTCAAACTTGGGTAATTAAACCATTAATACATAAATACAATACTGATAACATGATAGTAACGATAGAGAAGTAATAGTAGAGGAATAACACAAATTAGAGCTCTGAGGTGCTAAGGCCTGTAGTGTGGTTGTGAGGCTAACAATGAGGCAATGGCATTCAAACACTATTATACCATTAACACAACATTAACAGCAATAATGAGATTACAACGAAGTAGCCCCTGCTTAACCGTAAGCGATGCCGCGCCGCGTCCATTCGCGGCAGACGCGGCGGCTGAGGGAGACAGTATGCCGGGGGCGTAGGGAGGAGACTGTATGTCGCGGAGAGGGAGACAGTATGCTGAGGTGGTGAGGGTTACAGACTGGCTATGTTTCGGCCAAGCTAAGATTTCAACATTATAGCGATGAGGAGCATTTTAGTGAATCGATGAGGACTGTAAGTTACATGAGCGTTGACGGTGCTACAGACAGTGAATGATGAGTCATCTACGGAACACAGTCAGGCGGCTGGTCGTGAATAACGCTATGTCAGCAACGTGAACTTTGAGCATCGATGGGTGCCACCATTGCCCAAGGGTAAGGGCCAGTATGATAAATGGCTACAAAACTGATAAGCCTATAGCGGCTTAGCAGAATACATAGCATAAGTTGGCCGCTTAGCGGCATTGTACACATTGCGTACATTGTGGGAGGAATGGTACATGCCACCGATGGCGTTGCAAACAGAGCGCATTGGAAAATCCCCGCCACTACTGACATCGCACCGTAGGTAAGCTGAGAAACAAGGTACAATAATCTGCTGATTACTGAAGGATGAATGTGAATGTGTGAATGAATGTGATTGAATAAGAATAAATGAGTATGACTAAGAATGAGTTGAGGTGAATGAGGATGTGGTTGTGCGGAGCGGATTATCCGCGCCACCGATCGGGGGTAAGGTGAGTGATGGCATGTCCCCGCCGTCGAAGGCACCTGGCCCATATCGGCTGCGGGAGCCGCGAGCGCACGCAACCGCGGCCAATCTGGATCGTTGATCCTGGACCGCAATAGACTGTACCGAACTGCCTGAAACATCAAACGTCATTAGCTTCGTTGTTTCGCAAGGAAGTAGTAAACTGTTCCATGGTTACACCTCCTTCGGATAGGCCATCGTCGCTATGCTACTGAAGTCAAACCTGAATCGCTATAGTGCCTGAAACATTGGACATAATTGATCGAGAAGATTAGAAAGGTTACATTGCGGTGTTTGATGTGCGAGTGCGAGAGGGCCATATTTGGACATCAAATACTATTATTCAGATAGATAGAGAACTTTTATAGAGAGAAGTTCTCTATAGCACGTAGCCTTAAAATAAAACGTTCATATCAACGTTTTATCGACTAAGTCGTGTAAAAAATTATTGATTAGCATTGCCGAGGTTTGATCAAAATCGGGTACTGCTACGCTACGTGCCAGCAAATAAAGTACCGACTACTACAGGACGCATTGCTTGTAAAAATGCAGTTCATATTGGACGGCGAGAATCAACCAACATCCGCCTTGTATAGAAGACATCGCCGAATGATGTTCTCCATTCGAGTGGTGGCCTTTCACTGGATTCGACCAGATACGACAACGACCGGCTATCAACCGTACTCGGGTCAATGCTGCTCTGAAAAAGGCGAAGGCGCCGAAACGTGAGCCGAATAAGATTTTCATACCAACCTCGTGTCAGTCTACTCATGTAAAGTATTTGGTTATTGTAATCAAGGTTTAGTGAAAGCCTGTTTTTATGATGTTTATCAAATTTTCCTTGATTTCATTTTCCTTTCATTTTCCTTGCAACCTCAAATGCCAGTAGCTAAATGAAGAACATATCCAGGTGGAGCTAACTTACAGGAATCTGTTACAGATATTGCAGAATAGTTCAAAGGTACTCATTCAAAAGTTTTTCCGTTTTAAAAGACACTGGTAAAGCGAAAAAAATTCGATAAATCGATACCACTCAATTTTAAGGAAGCTCTGAGAGATCGTCGCTATGAAGGGCGCACTGGGCTTCTTCAGCGCAACAAAAACGATGTAGTTCTTAATCGTATCACAATTTTTAGCGAAAAATAGATTCCAAATGACGAACATTGACGTTCAGTGCAGCGATGGTACTGAGATAAACCCCGTAAACGTCTCCGGATTCTTATTTTGGATCGGAAACTGGCTATGTGGCAGTTAGGTGGTCTACAGCTAGAACGTTCAAGGTGACTTCTGGAATCTCTGCGACATTAGTACTCTAGCTAAGAAAGCGATTAAATTCGTCGGAAACTGCAAAGTCTCTGACTGACAGCTTTAAGCCAGTCTAAAGCGACTTTTGTTATTCAGTAAGGTTGACAAATAAACTTCATTCGGATAACGTTCGTACGACTTCGTCTCCCTCAGAGCCGATGACGCGACTCGGCGTTAAGAAGTCCGTTTCGATGGGTCGTTGAAGGCACCACACCAAGAGTACGAAGGGTTATGGGCGTCGACTTGTATTGTCGGATCTGAGGAAAGCGAAAACGTCGAAACGACAGTCGAATAAAGTTCATTTATCAAAACTCGTGTTATCTTATCAGTGAAATAATACATTTTGACTATTAATAACGAGGTTAAAGGAACGTCTGGCTTTGAGATATTGTTGAGCTCTATGCTAGCTGATAATGATGCGGAGTACTGTAGTACTGTAGATTGTCCATAAAAAAGAAATTGTTATCACTGCACAATCACTATAAAGAAAAACCGTCTTTGATAAAGGAGCACCGCCGGATGAGGTTAACTCATTTGAGCGGCGCTCCACTGGAGAAGGTCCGACTCGATACAACGACGATGATCGAGAGCAAGAAACTTAGTGCAAATCGTGTCGGATCATCGGCTCTGAGGAAGACACAGACGTTGAAATGTCAGTTGAATAAAGCCCATTTATTAACTTCGTGTTGGCTTATCAATGAAGGATTGCGTGTTGACTAGTCATACCGAGGTTAAAGGAAAGTTGGCTTATGAAAAAAGGCGTGTAGAGTTCTTCAAAAACATTAAACAGCCACATCGATAAAGCTGCTTTACGGAGTGGTAACCATTTAAAAAGATACAATCACGTTTAATAATATTGTAAACACAAAAATGTGATTTAGCCAGTAATAATCTGAGTAATAATAATCCAGTAATAATGCTTCTGAATGGAAAACATCCTTGTAGGGATTAGTAGGAAAGCAAATTGGCAGAGAGAGTTCACACCGGCTGAAAATTTTTTTGAATTAGGCACACTGAAGATCAGCTTCTATAAAACGGCACTTTTATAAAGAAAACCGGCTGAAGATATAGCTGTCGTCAAAAGCAGATTTGAAATTGTCTTTTTTTTTTTGAAAAAACCATCAGTTACCTCTCAATTCAAGGTTGATTTACCAACATGTCCCGTCTCATACTTACTTTCAAATAGAGAGATAAAGAAGAGTCTGATAGGCCACAACTTGCTAGAACTATTACTAATTGAATAAGACAGGTAAAATATTGCATACCCCTTATAAAACGATCTGGTTGTGACGATTCGAGGTTGGTATAAATTTAGTTTTGAGTCCCACTGGTAACAGAACGGCTCTGATTCGAAATCGCCGAAACGTCAGCCATCGACCAACAACACAAGCAGCAACAACAACAACAACGACAACGAAAGCTTATTCCAACTTCGAATTGCCTCAACAAGGTTAGTTTATAATATTATATAAATAAATATACCAACTATTAATGCCGATGTTCACAGAAAGCCGGTCTTTTGGACTGAATACTCCGTTTAAGCTCTTTCCATGGTTAGAAGCAGTTCGTTGCACTTTTTCCGTTTTCTTGACGACCATTCGATGAAATCTTTCTAGAATGTAAGCATATCTTTAGAAAAAAAAGCGGATCACTCACGAATAGTTGCTACGCTGCAGGTTTGTGCCTGCCTGAGTGCATTAACACTAACACTGGAATGAGGGTAAGGGTGCAAGGCATCGATCGAGAGAACGAATACAAAAACGGGTAACGCAACCACAGTTTTTGTGCTCTCTGACATTGTCAATGCTCATCGGGATAACGAATTGCATGCAGAGCTTCTGAATTTCGATATGAGCAAGCAGCTTTCGTTAGCCGAACAAAGAATTCTCTCGGATCTGTCGCATGTGCTTGTTGGGAATGCATTACGTTTGTAGAATGCAAAAGGTATGGATCAAATTTATTGCCTTATTGAGGCATCTGAACAGACGAAAATTGTTTATTGTATTTATGAAAAAAAGAATTTTTATCGTTTACGTCAAGCAAGATCTAACAGAATTACTACTCATTTCCTTCTATCCGCCTCTGCCTATGAAGTCTTTTATATTCACTATTTATTAGTAAGGCGACAATTACAGAAAGGTTGTCAGGCTTTCTTATAATATAGGTTCATGCATCCAATCTTAACTAGTCGTGCTGGTAGAGATGTCTGAATATTTAATGGAATAGATGACCCTGCCCTGAAGATGACCTCTTTGGTCTAAATCGCTGGGCCTAGGCTTAAAATTTTCCATCATGTGGTAGAAAACGACTGCGATTAAAGTAGAAACATATACTCTCGATTATTTAAGTTAAAAGAAGGAGGTTTGACAAAAAGTGTCGGCGTTCTGAAATTTGATAAAAGTTATAAAGACTATTGAGATTAGCAAACCTCGATTTCATGCTGAAGAAGCCGTCCAACCACAGAAAAAAAACGAAAAAAGGACTAAAACGAAAACTTAGAAAATGGAGCTGCTTGAAGTTGAAAAGCTAACCAGCTTTCTCTATTTGATGTAGGAACTGAGACGAGAAAGTCGGTTAAAAATTGTGTTGAATCCGGAAGACTGACACTTGACACTAGAACGGCCCGTCCTCACTGGTCGTGCGGGCGCCAGCATAATCACGAATTACCGGAGATTTGCTAGTTAAGCCATTGTGGTTTCCTGAAACCCCGAGATCAGCCTAGCCAAGGTCTGCTCCGGGTCTTCACAACCACGGGCCGTCGCAGTCTTTTTGGATCAGAGAGAGATTTACCACCATGCGACTTTGATACCAGGACGGTGGTGGATTCTGGTATTGGTTTACTTCTAGTTAGGCTTCTTGATGGAAACGCCGGACTCCTTCTCAGCTTGGAAGACCCTGCCGGTGGGACGAATCCCCCGCTGTACATCGCAGTCCGACGCCCAGGAACTCCTCCCAGCCACGAGAAGGCGGTAAACCGTTGGGAGGTTAGGAAGATTGAAGAAATTAAAATTAAATGTTGAAGTTGAAGAAACCTGTTTAGTTTCAACGTGCATCCCATGGAAGTGAACGGTTGAGATCTCTTTGTTACGAATTAAATAAGAACATTCTATATTATTGTTCGAAAGCAAATTTAAAATTTCTGATATCTTGAAAGAATTTCAGCAAACAGCCTCTTTCATGAACGAACTACTGCGATTTATTGTGAAGGAAAAATATCTACAGCAAGCTATTTTCTGCAATATCCACAAGTTCTTTGACACTGTTCCTTCATCAGCTGAACATAACCACGTCTGGTGCAATAGGTTTGCATTGCTGGGCAATCACTAACTCCAGTTTGGGGATTCACTTTGTCGAAACAGCTTCCATCAGTCCGAGTACCTAAAACAAAATTTTATTAGCTGAGAATACCAATCTGCCACTCTCCAGCCTAATAATTCCAGTCTTCGAGATCATTTTAAGCTGTTTGAGAATGCAGTTCATATAGGAATACAGCTTTCAAAGAGACTTCAAGTGCAGATTTCCTTCTACGAAGTACTTTTATTGCCTCATACTCTCTCTGCTGAAACATCTCCCTAAAGTCTACATAACAACTTCGCATAAACTCATTAATGCTATAATAGATTGAATAACAGATTAAGTCCATAATCAAAATGGAAGTTACCTTAAATTTAGTTCATTAGTAGTTCATTATTACACTACAGCGTACCTCACTCGGTTAACGTACTATGTTTGATCAATGGACATGCGCCGTATCTGATCAGCCACACCATTTTTTAGACTTTCTTTAGAATTCTAAGCTCAATAACTGATGACTTTTATGATAAATTGGAATTGGTGGTTTTTTATTTACGACATCGAACTCTCCAGAATAATAGCTGTAAATTTTGAAACTTTGCAAATGAAGAAAAATTTTTACCACTTTTAGCGAAAAACGCTGCGCTACCCTCCTTCTCTAATAAAATTTTAGAAGAAAAAGCACTGAGGTAATAATGGCGCGGGAAACACTGCAGTTACCCCTACCAAGTTGAGGTCAACACTTGTCCAAAAGGTTTCATGTGGCGAAACTAAAGATTTTACGATTTCCATCAGTTTTCCTAAAATTCGTCTACTTATGTCAACATGGTACTCCAGTATACAGTAGTCCAGTTAAGGTCACAACAAATTTTATTTAAATTATAAATATGCCTATCAGTTTTTTTGCGAAAACAGCTACTACAAATCACCATTCAGTGTTTGAAACTATCACCTCACTCAAGTTGTTCATGGTTTCATCCCTGGAGGATTAAGCCCTTGTAACTTGATAAAAAGAACATCAGACATTGAAAATTGTAAAAAAAAAACGTAGTTCTGAAGATTTTCGTAGAAGAATGGTAAGACTTTCATTCGCAAATGGTGGATTATAACGTAATATCATTCACATCATTCATATCTCAAGATTGATAGAGTAAATCTCTACAATTTTCTTATCTTTTCCCCTCTAGCCTTCTACTGCAGAAAACATCGCTTGTTGTCGAAAATCCAGCAAGTTCGTAGCAGCCAAAAATTAGAGGTCCTCGCGGATGTGTTAAAAAAGGGGTCAGAAAAGTGCTTCCGAAGTCCCAGTAATCAGACGGTTTGAAAATTTTCGATTTGAAGACATGAGTCTTGATGGCGGAGAAGATGAACGATTGTGTCTATTAGCAGTTAACGACGACTATCTTTAAATGGTAATCCACACCAACTCTAGGAAAAAAGGCTAGAATGTTGGAAAGAAATTCATTGTTCTTCTAAGGATCCAATGAAGATGAAGGCGCCAAAAGGTTGGCCGAAAAAATTCTTTTTACGAAACTCGTGTATGTGAGCCCAACAATTTAAACATCTTTTAAATGTTCCCTTTTCAAGAAAACATTCCATGGAACACGCCGAAGACCCTGATTGGACTTAAAGTCGGACCAACTGAATCCGCTATTCCTCTGAACTTGGAGAGCTGGTCCCTGAGAGAAACAAGCCTCCCATTCATTAAGGATCTGAATATTGGCACCGTATTTGAAGAGTTCGCTCCGATCTCCACAGGTTTATGACTGCTTATGATGAAAATTAAAAAAAAACCCTAGCACGGTTATCCTAGATTTCCAAAGAGAACCGACTAAACCAATATTCAACTCCATTCATAAAAAACACTGCTTCTCCTCAAACAAAAGCTGAACTAATGCTCATCGAAAAACTGTCGAATGTAGTTGTAAGGAATGACATTAATGCCAAAAATATTGCTATGCGCATATAGTGGTGGACTGTCAGGTTGTGTAAAATTTAAAGAAAAGTGTGCTTTCACGAATTGTGGTACTGTCTTAATATGAATGAAGGCAGGGGAAGCATTCATGTGGTTCATGCAGTTTGTTTGATATTGTTATACAGAAGTTTTGTCATTTCCACAGATTTCCAACTCGTTCCCATTTTTTCACGATCTTAGCAAAATTATGGGAAACTGAAGCATAACTGGACACGCAAGGGTTAAGCCGGCGATACTGATTTTATCAGCCGAAGAATAAAATGGCTTAGTGTGGCTTTGTGGGTTCAAGCAGTGCAGCATGGCTATCCTTCGTTATTCAACGGCTATTATTAAACATCCCGAAGTGTCACTGCAACGATTTCTTTGCTTCTTCAAAAACACTGAAAAATTCGCCTTATTGTCACAGGCACATGAATTGTGCTTTCTTCTTTATAAGAGATTCTTACTTTTGAAACAAATATAAGTTAAAAGGGAATATAGAGTGAGCTAAACTAAATTATTGGCTGGAAAATTTAAGCGAAAGAGTGAATTTACCGCTTATAACACATCCAGATGGACAGCATCCTGTAGAGACCAGCACGAAGCCGAATGAACAAAGACCGTTTATGCTAGCTGAAAACTGCCCAGTTAGCCACAATGAGTAGCAGTTTTCAGAAATGAATACTGTTGGTGACGTTTGAAAAACGGAAAAGTCGAAGAGTTAGCTATGATCCAAGAGCAGCTTTGGACCTACTTTAGCATCTCTTTTTAAATGAACGGATAGCATTTGAGCAATACACCCACCTTGTTGAAGATAACGCTCGCTAAATGAAAGAGAATCACATACATATGCAGTAAAAATACTCCCGCTGAAGCGCTGCAATATTGCGTTCCATTTCCTTCTGATATTTTAGTTTCATCTGTGCTTGAAAGCAGCACATTTTATGTTTCCGATCTTCTCAATGCACAGTCGAAAAAAATCTCCTTTCTCATTTGAATACAACTTTCTACAGAGTGAATGCGATAACTCACGAGTAGTGGGAATGAGGCAGCTCTGAGCTTGACTGAGTGCAATAACAGTGGAGACAAAAGCAACAATAGGAAACATTGTGCGCAGGCAAGAGTGACAGCATACACCTGAGTTTTTATGCCTTTACGACTCATCTGGGTAATCAGAATGCTACTGGCCTTCACTCAGAACAAACAGCTTTCACAACAAAGAAGATTTGCTGTACCATCCTATCCGCAGGTGAATACACAAATCTGCCTTGAGGACCGAAAGCGACATGGATTAAATCGGTCGCGTCATTCAGAACCGTTAGCAAATAAATAGTATTCGACTAGGTGAAAAGAGTAAAGTCAATATTCCATATGTAAAGGTAAAATCTCGGCAGAATTTCTAGCCTTCTCTATCCGACCACAATAACTGCATGTATTGGTGAAGAAGAAAGAATTTCTCAGTGAATGAAATGCCAGACCCAAACATCTACAAATGAGTGTAGAGCGTAAGTCACTACAAATGCTTAGTTTCGTTTTTTGGCAATGTAGTCATTAAAACATTCAGCGATTCCATTTGTAACTTTGCAGTTCTTTAAATGGTGGCAGGACTGTTATCATTCGTTCATCCATATTCCACACTTTGTTTTGCGTTTTTGTGTTACGATTTTTCAGTTTTTGAGGGTTTTTGAGTCATGGAATGATAAAGACTCATCGAAAGTCCAATGACGCCATGTGGTGCCGAATCGCTTGCTTCTCTTGTTTGTCCAGGTATAATCACTGTCGTTCTAGCATGACAGAATTAATTGGTGATGAAGATACTGTGTTCACCTGCTTCTTTTCGTTCGTACAGCTGCCAGCAATCCGAACAGTTATGGGCAGCAAAAGACGATCATTTCCATCATTACATGCAAAACTACTGTTTCAAAAATCGTTTGTGTATCTGTTGCCGTTCAGTCAGCGGTATTACGTCACCACCTGAAAACAAAAGTTGGGATATTTTTGGCCCTTGTCATAAGAAAAGTATATGATGCTTATACCAAACCGGATAAATTTATATGAATATAAAGGCGTCGTTTTCTTGTTCAGCAATCGCGAGGTTTTTAAGCAGCATACATTTACTTCCATAGAAAAACACAATACAATACAACAATAGCTGACGTTTTTATGACGATTTATATGAATATAAAGGCGTATGCATTTCTAACCGAGTACGTGCAGCGCAGCGGTCGGAGGCTCCATGCACTGCACATGGGATCGATCCAAGCGCCCAGGCTCGCTAAGTCGTCTACCTATCCGGGTTCGGAAAATTGGTGCCAGACTTGTCTGGAAGGATAGCAGTGCTGTCTCGATAAACAGGCCATCGAGAGTCGTTATAAAGGCAAGATATCCATTCATTCATCTCCGACGATTACTAACTACTGAAATCGAATGCATGGCGCACCACACAGCTATGGTCCTGAAACTTTTTATACTTTATTGTATTTTATAGATTCCAGTGATCGAAGGGAAACCTCCACGGCTACTGTGATGGAACTTTCTATATTTTGCGGAATTCGATAGATTCCAGATATCGGAGGAAAAAATTTCACGACTTCTGTATTGAAACTTTTACTATTTTGTATATTTTATATTTTATAGTTTTAGTAGACGAGTTGAATTATTTCCGAGCACATGGGATAAGCCTCAGTAAGGAAGACGCATAGAACAGGTGAAGTGACCCACCATTGTTATTGTAGGTGCAAACAATTAAGCAGGGCGGATTATCACTGTAATAGGAGTTAAATGGACGCAGAACTTGTAAAACGACAACTGTTTGGATTGCTGGCAGCTGTACGAACGAAAAGAAGCAGGTGAACACAGCATCTTCATCACCACTTACTTCTGTCATGCTAGAACGACAAAGATTATACCTGGCCAAACAAGAGGAGCAAGCGATTCGGCACCTGTGATAGACCACATCCACACAATAACGACCATTAGAAATATCGTGAGGCGATAGTCGACTGCATTGCTTTGCTTTCATCACCTGAAAAACCCTTTCGACCCGATTGAGACAACAACTGACATTTAGTCATTATATGAAGATTCTTTGTAGCGAAGTAGAAATTTCACGACAGGAGTATCACCATTCTACAATGACACTAACATAGACTTGAAGAAAAGTGGTTTACAATGCGATGATATGCACTATGATAAGATTTCACACACTGTCAAAATTATTTACAGCAGCATCTGCGCATTCAGTAGAGGTCAGAAGGTGTTCGGCCAGCGAAGCCTCCGCTGGGGTGAGCTCGGGATTTCAGGAAACCGCAAATAGCTCATTCAGCAATATATCTTCGTCAGCACGCTGCACATGAACGCTCCCCTCTAGGACATCGGGCGGTAAGGTAATTGGTGTCGCACGATCAAATATCGGGTTGCACAGGTCATTCGAAACGCATAAGACGAACACGTCCTGACACGCCGTAGATACTGGTTCTTGTTCTGCACATATGACATCACATCAGTCTTCCCAGACGCCAATGTTTGCGATCTTTGCCGGTTGCATTAAATTCTTTGTGATCACCCTAGAAGAGATGAGAAGTAGGCGTACCGACATAGGCTAATTAAACAGATAGATCCTTGTCATTCATGGAGAGAAATTTCCGTTACGAAATGTCCGCGGCGTTGGATTTGTAGTACACCCATTTTTTCCCATCACGTTAGCTCGTACGAGACCCTATCATCTCATCAACATCTTGTCCATTCTTC